GAGATAGAGGTTTAAGACTTGTGAACGTATGGGTGATAATTGAACCCATGGGTGCATATAAAATAAGAAGAGCAAGCACACAGAGTAGGAAAACAGCTTTTGATAGAGATGTAGGGAACATCTATTCTTAACATGTATGCATAAAATGAAGAATCAGAAAGGGAGACTGAGGAAGAGCACTCAGGTAAAAAGAAACCCAAAAGAAATTAGATGGCTTGATCATGAAAAGAGAAGAACATAGCCTTAAATCATTGTTACCAAGACCAGAGGATTATTTTGTGGGAAACCTAACCTAAGAAGTTCTAGACCTTGGCACAGGAATGGGCAGCATAGAACAAACGCAAGGGAGTGAAAAGTTTACACATGACTGAGATTCTCATCTTACCTCCCCTGACCTATTCCCAGCCTGCTCCAGAGAGTTCACTGAAGGATTTTTTTCTCTATATACAAACTATTGGAAGGTGCACTTCAAAATGCAAGTAGACAGGTACATAGATGAGAGAAGTAGAAGATAAGGAATCAGGAAACCTTGAATCAGCCTATGCAACAGAACAGCAACTGTGCAGCAGGCTTAGAGGACGACCAGCCTAGACTGAGGTAATAGCCAAGGGCTGCTCTAGGAAGGTCTCCAGGGGAAAATGTGAAGCTGATGTGTCTGTTTGGAAAAATTACAGATGGGTGTTTGGCAGATCTAATGGAGCATTTGGAAAAAAATAGATGTATAGAAAACAAAGCAGATGAAAAAGCAGTTCTTTTGAAGAGGGAAAAGTAATAGGAGGAAGATGGCACACCCATAGTATATTACTTGGTTCAGCAAGGAAGAATATTTAACTTTACACTGTAAACATATAAAAATATAAACATATAAATGCTGGCTGCTGATTTATCAAAAATAGTGAAGTAATCATGTTGGGGAGGATGGGTAAGAGTTAAAAACGGGGACAAATGAGAGGTCTAAATCTTATACTTTCAACATGGTAATGAGAAGACGAGATATTTAAAACCTATAAATAAAAAGAACACAAGCACATTATTTAGGAATATGAACATAAATGCCAGGAGAAACAGCTAAGAGTTGGCAATGGTTTCCTCGAGGGAAAAAACTTAGAATGTCAAGAGACAAGGTAAGGAATGTCTGTTTTCATTGTCTTTTTCCACTGGCTGATATTTTAACTACATATATAAATCCCTTTAAGAAAATTAAGGTTATGGGAGGGGGTATGGGGGTAGGAAAGGGAAGGTGGAATGAGATGGACATCATTATCCTAAGTACATATATGAAGACAAAATGGTGTAACTCTACTTTGTGTACAAACGGAGATATGAAAAATTGTGCTCTTTATGTGTAATATGAATCGTAATGCATTCTGCTGTCATATATGACAAATTAGAGTAAATTTAAAAACATGAATTCTTAGGGGGGGCAGGGTTGTGGCTCAGTGGTGGAGCGCTTACCTAGCATGTATGAGGCACTGGGTTCAATCCCCAGCACCACATAAAAAAATAAATAAAATTTAAAAAGAAAAGAAAAATAAGGTTATTGGAGAATAAATGGGAAGTATGAAAGGAGGTAGAAAATGCTAAGTGTCAATAGTTTAGCTGGCTATGGAAGGAAACAGTGATAGGATTGTACCAGTTGAAGGCAGAATTTGGCTAAAATGGAAGGTGCCAGAGCATATTTATATCCTGTGTGGAAATATCCTGTGTGAAAAGGAGAAGCTGCAACATCAGAGAGCAAAGAGATAACCAGTGATGAGACCCTGGAGGTCAAAGAGAAACACTAAACTTTATCTTTTCTGGGAAATTTTTGGACTCATTCATTCCTGTTCACTGGGAAATTCTCTCTATACCCCTCTCCTCCTTACCTCATGCTCCTCAGTCTCTCTCCACACCCCCAACCACCCTGTAGCCTCTGACACACATTTCTTTTTCTTTCTCTTTCTCTTCCTCCTCCTCTACCACTACCACCACTTCCTCCTCCTCCCCCTTCTCCTCTCTCTTCTTCTCCTCCCCCTTCTCCTCTCTCTTCTCCTCCTCCCCCTTCTCCTCTCTCTTCTCCTCCTCCCCCTTCTCTTCCTTCTTCTCCTCTTCCTCCTTCTTCCTTTTCTTGTTTTCTCTCCTTCTCCTTCTTTTCCCTAGTTCTGGGGATGGAGCCCATGGCCTTGTGCATGTTATGCAAGTGCTCTACTACTGAGATAAATCCCAGCCCACATGTGCTCTTATCTATATTCCAATCTAGAAAGTCACATTCCTTCCCCAGTATTCTGAATCTATGAGGAATTAGAAATTCAAGTCATTTTATATTCTTGGACATGTTTTCATTTCACTAAACTCATACTTTCCTCACATTATAAAACAAAACTATCTATTCATTTACTTGAACACATTCAAATAATAGATCTTGATGCATACAATAAAATCCCTAGGAAGACCCCAGTTGTTGCCCATCAACCAGCCCTCCCTGTAAATTAATGGGAATGCCAAGAGAAATTGAATAATCCTATTGAAGCAAATAACCTGAATATGAAGCTCACATATTGTCAAAACACAATAAACATTTTTATGGTTGTGGGTCATATGAGAACATTTTTGGGGAATATGTATGTGAAGTATCCACCATCATGTGCTGAAATAGTTAATACATTTAAATTATCTGAGACAAGGAAGACCAGGGTCTCCTCCGTAGCTATGTTGATTGTGCCCTGAATGTCTCTAGAAGGCACAATCAGATTGAAATCTATGGAAATGACACCTCACACCCAGCCTCTCAACCCCTGGAGTTTTTTTCAAGGTGGGATTGGAGCTGGAGCTATACACATCAGTCATGATGAGACCCCTTTAATTTTACTATACAATATATTTCAGAACAGAGAAAAAAATTAAATTTATAATCACATTCACTTTTGAAGAAGTCCATTAAACTTCATTTTAAAAACATATTCACAAATGGAAGCTGGATTTGGAGTGCATTTAATCGTCTACCTCCTATTCCCAGTAGATTTCACTTCTAATATATGGTTTAAAGCAAAGCTATCCAATGTATAGTTGGTTCTAAAATTATAAAGAAAAACTGCCATGACCATTGCTCTTTATCATTTCTGAAAGTGACTATGTATTGTTCTGCCAAGTTTTCTTAACAGTTGTAATTTGTAGGTGGCTCTATGCCAAGATCTAGATGTATAAACACTAGATGTATAAACACTGTTAAGACCTTTGGAGCATTTTTCCAGCTGATGGTATGAACTTTGAGAAGAAATGACATAGCATGGTATGAGCAGGTAAAAGCAAAGACATCAGCAAGTGACATTAAGATTTTGATAAATCACTGAAGAATGACAGGTAGAATCTAAAGGAATGCAGTATTTGGTTCTTTTGATACCCCCATTTGCTCAAACATAGTATGTCATGTTACAGTAATACTAAATACTTCACAAATACCCAGGTAGGCATTAATAAAAGCAGCAAATGTCCTTTTTTTTGAAAGGGTTGCTTGTATACTATATGAAAGTGGAAAAATTCCCTTAAAAAATGCAAGTCAGTATTCTAAATGGAAAGTTCTCGAATTATTTAAATTTGTCTTGTCCAAAATCATATTTCTTTTTTTTTTTAGTGCCAGCTATTGAATCAGGGCCTCATGCATACTAAGCATGCATTCTACCACTGAGCTACATCCCAAACCAAAATAATAATTCTTTTTTTAAAATATTTTTTTAGTTGTTGATGGACCTTTATTTTATTTATTTATATGTGGTACTGAGAATCGAACCCAGTGCCTCACACATGCTAGGCAAGCGCTCTACCACTGAGCCACAACCCCAGCCCCAGAATCATAATTCTTAAAGTGTTTATTTTCTCAGTCTCTTTTTCCCACCCCCTTTTAAATTTTCAATCCCATTATATGGCATGTCTTTAACATGGTTGCTCAATGTTTGTTTGTTTGTTTTTTAATACCTTTATTTTTATGTGGTGCTAAGGATGGAACCCAGTACCTCACATGTGATAGGCAAGCTCTCTACCACTGAGCCACAACTTCAGCCCACTCAATGTTTTTAATACATATTCTGAGAAATGATGAATAGTAGGAAATGAATATGATTAAAGAGCCTGTGAATACTATGAGGCATCTATATCTACTACCACTACAAACAATTCAAGCGCAAGTTCTGCAAAGTATAGGAAATGTGGTGAGGAGAACACAAAGAAAAATGTGTTTGTTCATGGACTAAAAACTAATCATACATCTTTTTTTTTTTTAATTACTTTTTCCCAAATATCAAGATCAGGTGCTATTCATACAATTTTGAAATTCTAACAATTCCAAAATGGAAAAACAAAAATTTGTAACTTTATAGTTATTGTACTTCTGTAAAGTTGACCTACTTAATTCCAAACTTTTGGCAAAGGTACTGTCTACATAAGACCTTAGTGTGCTAAGCTATGGGTTACTAACCTTGAGCTCATTTGTTGTTATGTGACTACAAAGCACACTGTCCACTTTAACATGGTTAGTCTCACAAATACAGTTGGAATTTGCATTCACAGTCTGTTTCATGCTTATTAAAACATGCTTAAAATTAAAGAAAATGATTCAAACATGAGAAAAACTGACAGGAATAATAATGTATTTCTCCACCCCCACCCCCCCCACACACACACACACAAATCTTGAACTGTTTCTACATTTGTAAGTAGAGTCCACATTTAACAGAGTAAAATATTTGGACTCAATTAAGCTATGCATGATGTCATTTTTTTCTTGGCATTAATGTATCCGAATTTACTTTCTTCTATTTTCTATCCATCACAATTTCTGTTGAGCTATAAATGGTCGTTTAGCAACTCTAAAGTGCTCCACAACTTAAATCAGTCACACATTTGAATGGAGCACGAGTCTGACATTAATATTTCTAAAATTACTCTCTATGACATTCTGGGAATCTTTTGTAGGTGGCCGAAACTTCTACAATGTACACAAACACACAAGAATAAGTCAAACTCTGTTTTTAGGATTCCATAGTTCGTTTCCATTTTATTTCACATTCAAGTTCTTTCCTGAAATCATTTTAGAAGCTTTGTTTCTGCAATATTTTAGAGGTTCGAGCCCTGTGATAGCTATGCAATTCTTTTTCCAGCACACTAATTCAGTATTTGATAAAGGCAAGTGACAATTACTAAACTATGTCCTATTTTAGAGTTTTTGAAAAATAAAAAATTACCATAGAACAATACCTGTTAAATTTGGCTTATGATTAGAAATTATGTGAGTCAGCCTTTAAGAATAGGTAGTACAGTCCCCAAATTTTACTGATGAACAAACTGAGGGTTTCTTAATTGGTGGGCTAATTGATAGATCCACTTGCTAGAAGCAAAATTGAAACTAGAAGTCAGGCTCCGCCACAAGCCCAACATCCTCAACAAACCACACAGCAAACAGCAGTTTGGGTAATTACTTCTGTTCCCCAAGCATCAAAACAAATGCACAAAATAGGAAAGAAACATGGCTATTAGTTGGTTATTTTATAAACAAGGTGTTTAAAATTTAAATTAGTACATGTAAAGAGTTGGCACAAACAGATGAAGACTCATTTTCACAGCAGCAGTAGCATCTGCACAACATACCCCCTTAGCCACTGCCCTCAGCCCTTCCCCCCTCCAAGAGAGGTAGTGCTGCTGGCTGCAGATTTCTTCAGCTCTATTTTCATAGACTGAGTCTCAGCTCGAGGCTCGAATTTGGTCAGATTTCCTGCTCCTGGGGCTGCCACTACTGGCTTTCCTGCTTTCATACCTTTTGACATAGGAATGCGGGTAGGTGTAGGCCGCTGGGATGACCCATCTTGTCCTGACTGTAAGAGAAAACAGAAGGGAGATGTAAGTTTCCCCTGAACATGCCATCCATTTGAATGTCACAAGACTCTTGACACACAGAAACACCCACAGGTGACAACCCTTCCCCAGAAGAAAAAAAAAAAAAAGGAGTTTAAGAAACTTGGAATTGGTATCTATTTGCTCTGGTTATGTCCTTTTTTCCTCTCTAGAAACATCTATGTTGAATAATCTTCTCTTTTTAAGTACTACCCTACCTCCTCTATCCTTTCTGAAGATGGCCTTAAGGTCCATTTCATGGCAAAAATATCGGCCACCAGGTATAAACTCAGGCAATTTTACTTGTACTGTTCCACAAATTATCTCCACTCTCCCTTCTTCCCTCCATTTCAGATGAAGCAGCTCTCCTCTCACTCCTTATGACTTCAGGTGACTGTCATTTTTCATTGTCATTGCTGACCTTAAAATCCTAACACTCTCTTGTTTGGATTTCTTATGTGAGTCTCACCAGTTCATCTCCTGTCTCTGATGATTTCTTTTCGATCTCTTGCTGGCTCCTTGTTCTACCTTGTCTGCCTTCTAAATGTGAGTGTCATCATGTCCTATTCTCAGCCATTTCTAAGTTTTACACTCACCCTTAGAATCCCCTTAGTTTGTCCCAGTATGTCCAAGTACTAGAACCTCAAGCCTTCAATTCTCTCTTGAAATGCAGATCTGTATTTCCAGCTACTTACTGGAAATTTACAGCATCCCCCAGTCATCTAAAAATAACATGTCTCAAACATTGCTTATCCTCTTCTTCAAAGAGTTAGTCTCCCTATGCTGCTCATCCAAGACATCCAGACAACCAAACCAGAAACCTCAGAGCCACCCTCTATATTCAATTTGTCATGAAATCTTTTCAATTCTATCTTCAGTATATCTCTGTCCTCATTTTCACTTCAAGTCATCTCTTGCCTAGAGAATTGCAGTAGCATTGCCTTTAGCAGCCATCCCCTCCAATTTATCTTTTAAATAGTTTTCTAGACAAGTCTTTCTCAAATAATGTAATGTTTTTCATGATCATAACCCTTTCAATGGCTCCCCTTTGCCACTCCATGAAATTAAATATCAATTTCATAAAACACATCTGTGCCTTCAATATCTGACCCAAGTGTACTTTTCCATTTTCTGCACTTGGATTTTCTCTATGCTCCCAGCACAGTGGGATGCTCAATATTTCCCAAAAATGCCAGGCTGCTTCACATCCTAATGCCTTTGCACATACTGTTCTGCCTTCATATTCCTATTATTTTCCTTCTTGAAAATCCCACCTTATCTGTGAAGACTTCTCTGGTGGGTCCTTTGGGTATACCTGTTTCAGAACCACTAAGTAAGTTCCAGTCCTGCCTCTCCCACTCAGTCAAGTACTTCTAAAGTCCTCTTCACATGCCAACACCTAATACCATGGTCAAAGCATAGCTGACACTCAACAAATGTGGAATGAACAAGTGCACACATGAACTAGCCTGATGACATTTTCAAAGGGGTGTCCTAAACCTTTTGTTGTCCTTGCTCTAATGGGATCTGGTATACCTAAAATAAATGGGCTACAATTCAGACCTTTAGAAATCTTAGGCAACTGTTTTGAAATCCTATTTATGTATTGGGTTTAATAGGTGGTCCAAAATGTTGCTACAGAAGGTAAGGCTATCCTGATAGGATACTCAAAATAGGAATGAGATGTTACAACAGAAAATCTACTTCAAATTACAATAATTTACATCCCCACAACGTTTTTATAAAATGCAGCAGAAAGAAGCAAGACCCTACATAACCAAACTATGCTCTGTGTTGCCTAAAAAGCAGTCCTAAATCATTTGAGAAGGGCAAATAATTTTGAATGCTATTTGGCTTCTGTAGAGCCAGTAATGAAAAGCTTTACTGGCAAAGCAATTAGTAATTCACACTTTGAAGTCTGTCTTGAGTCTGAATTTTGGCAAAGAGAATTAATGTAAATTATATTGAGCATTTAGGGAAATAAGCCACAGTTTCTATATTTAAATCATGACTTTCCTGTCTTTAAGAGATTTCAATATATGCTATAGAATTTGTTCAAAATTCCGAGCCTAGAGATCATAATTTCTAGTCTATTAGCTTAAATTAATATCTAAATAATTCATGCTCTTCTATAAGAATCTTGTCCCCAATAAATAAAGACAATTACTGGAAGTATTTTGAAAAATATAACTTCTTTTTAAGCCCTAGTGTTTGCACTTTGAACATTTTTTAAAATAATCATTCCTGCTAGTTATCGAATAAATATTTATAAAGTGCCTGCTCTCTGCAAGGTAGTTCTTTTTTTAATAATTAAACACCAAATTTTAATTATTTTTCAAAATATGTATCTGTTTTCTACTATCAAGAAAAAAAGGTAATTCTTAATCATATAAAAATCACTTTTTTTCCTTTAAAAAAAAGTTTTTTATATCAAAATATTTTAATCTTATTTTGTGAATAAAGCATGGCTATGACCATACACAATCACATATAGTATATTTTAGGTTTTAGAAATATAACCTAGGAACTGTTTTAGTTCTTCTTGAATATTGACTGTTTCCTCCTGTCATCATTTTAAAAAGTATTTTAAACATAAAAATCAAATTTTAAACCTCAGGATTACCCTGTGCTGCCATTTCAAAGAGCCCATCTTTGCAAGTATTTGAAGTGTCTCCACAATTTACATGAATAAATGAAAATTTCCCTCAAAATTGGCCCAATTTATCAAAATATTAGATTGCTTAATTTTCATCTATCAGTGTAGATGGTGCTACAGGAAACATCAGTGAGTGGGGGAGGTACACGGCTTTGATTTATTGTGGGTGCTGAGTTAGTCTCACTCCTTACTTCTCCATCCTCCTCTGGCCAGGGCTTTGGAACCTCTTATACTCACCACTGACTGGGTTCCTCGAGTAGATGAAGTTGTGACTGGTGTTATGGTGATGGTGCTCGTCACTTTGCTCGCACCAGGTCGTGAAGAGAGATGGTTCCTGGGAGAGCGAAGGACAGTGCCAGTGGAAACCTCCTTTTCAGCTGTCACGTTGACTGGCCGAACAGTAATAACTGGACTAGCTCCTTCAGCTGAAGTCCCAGGGGATCGTTTAAACTGGGAACCTAAGTGAATGTGAATCTTATTGTCTTCCGTGGTTATGATATTGGCATTGGAATTGTATTTTCGTACTGGAGGTGGAACAGTCTGTTTTTCGGGGGTGACTTTAAGGATAGTCCTTCCCATGGGCATTTCCTGGGATTCTGGAGAAACTGCAATTTCGGCTGGCGCTGCAGAAGTAGACACCGTCATTATCTGAATGGGGGATGTGGGCCTGTCTGCAAACGTGCCTCTTCCACTTTCTGGGGTTTTCTCTCTGGAAAACGTCGTAATTGTGACTGGGGACATGGCTCTTTCTGGGCCAAGAGTAGGTTCTGCACTTTTTGTTTTTTGAGACATAACATTTGGTGATGGAATAATGGTTATCCTTGGTTTCTGATTCCCTAATGTAGGAATGACGGTGGTACTAGAAAAAAATTCTTCAGATGTGGGACTGGTTATCTCCAAAGTGGCAGTACTGTTCTCGTGATCTGGTGTCACTCGGATATGCAAGGGCTGGCCCTGCTTTGGTGAAAGAACTAGTTCTCCTGGGTGCCCGGAAGTGGAATTTGTTCGAGGCCCTTTCTCCTGCGTGATTGATGGGCCGTTTTCCCTTTTTCTCATCCACGGAATCCACGACTTTCTCATAGTGAGCTCATTTGCTGCTGGAGGATACCTGTCTAGGACAGAGGATCGTTCCATGGGCTTTTTCAGTCCTACCTGTCGAAGATTGCTCATGATGTGATTTTCTTCTTGGAAGGATTTTCGTATGAATACAGCCGGCGTTTCTTCCTCAGCTGCCTCGCTGCCCACGGCCTCTGTCTGCACCCCGGTGGACGTCACAGGCACATCCACCATTCTTCTCCCATTCACGCTGGGTCTGAGAGCGCGGCTGTACCGCTTAGAAAGCTCCAACTCTTTGGTCAGATTGAGGACCTCCTGCCCCATGTTTTTGTTCTTATTTTCTTCCTCCATAAATCTTTGTTGAAGGACTGAATAATCTACTTGGAGCTGAGAAAGCTGATCTTCTTTGTTCATTAACTCGTGAATTTTCTCTTTGAGAGCTTGTACCTCGGCTTTCAAATCTCTACTCTTAGCCTCTTCCAATCGAAATCGGTGTCTCAGCTCAGCTTCCTGGCTCACAGCCTCCCCTTTCTCTATTGCTTTGTTCTTGGCAATTTGGTGCTTGATCTCCTCTAACTGCTGAGAGAGGAAGTTAGCTTTATCCTGCTCAGTTCTGAATTTCTGCTCCAACTGATCATACTCATCCTCTGTCTTCATCAGATCCCCTTCCACTACTTCCAACTGTTGGAGACGCTTCTTCAGCCTCTCAATTTCAAGGGTTAGTTCCTTAATCTTATTATCTTCTGGGCAGGTGAGCTCAGGTCCTTTTCGAGACCTTCCTCTTGTTATTTCTCTTTCCACTTCTTCCATACCATCAAGTCTCTTCTTTAACAAATCAACGCTGCAGCTTAATTCAGAGGATTTTTCTTCTTCACTTTTCAGTTTACCTATCAACTCATCTCTCTCCTTTGTCAAAGTGTACACCTTTTCCTCCATTTCAGATTTCAGTTTTAAAAGTTTCTTACTTTCTTCGATTAATTTTTCAGTTACATCCATAACTTTGCCTTGTTCCACCTTAAAATTTTTATTGAGTCCATCCACTTTTCTCTCTTCTTGCTTTATTTTTTCCATCATATTTTTCCTTTCATCAACCAGCATCACTGTAAATGACTTCAGCTTTGTGAGATCATCTTTGAGGCTCAATTCTGCCTTTTCCAGTCTACTTTCAGAACACTCAAGTTCTTTAACTCGACTTTTAACTACCTCCAATTCATTTAGCAGGTCTTTGGTTAAATTCTTTTCTTTCTCCAGATTTAAGTGTAGCTGGGAACATTCAGATTTACTCTTGCTAAATGCTTCTTCCAGTTTCTCCAGTTCAGACATTCTCTTCTGTAACTTCTCAACTTCAAGTTTGAGCTCCTTACTATGGTGTTCTTCCTCTTGCAGTTTCTTCCTCAGTTCCCTGCACTGGGATTCAGTTTTCGTGATTTCTTCATCTTTACCCTCCATTTCCAGCACACGCTTTCGGAGATTTTCCACTTCTGCCATGAGGCTGGAGTTTCCACATTCCCCTTTGGCAATTTTATCTCTCAATTCCTGAAGTTCTTCCTCTGCCTTTTGAAGATTTTTATTGGTCTCTTCTAGCTCCTCAATTCTTTGAGATAAGCCAACCAGCTTCAGTCTAAGTTGCCTGTTGTGAGACTCTTGGTTAGCCAATTTAGCATTCATCTCTTCATGCTCTTGAGAAAACCTAGAAGCCTTGTGTTCAAAGTCCACTTCTAACTTGAGCAGTTTCTGTCTGTCTTCTTTGGATTTGGAAGTAATGGCTTTGAGCTTTTCTTCTTCTTCCCTCAGTTTCTGAGTAAGATCCTGTACCTTCTGGCTTTGCAGGCCAAGTTGTTCAATGTGCATTTGTCTTTCATCCACCAGCATGAGTGCAAAGGACTTGAGTTTGACAAGCTCATCTCTTAGTTTATTGAGACGCTTAGCATTTTCCTTTTCTTTGCGGGCTTGGTAAGCCTTTTCTTGTTCAAGGAGCTTTTTCAACCTAGAAAACAAAATATATCTATATATTAAAAGATTAATCAACAAATAGATTTATCTTAGTTATTAAATAAAAAAACAAAATATTACCACAATAAATCCCTTATAAACAGCTGTAATATCAACTACAAGTAGCCATTAATGAAACTGATTAGAAAAATCAGGAGACTGGTTACCTTTAGAGAGGGTAGTAACTCAAAAGGGGCCTGAGTTTGTTTCATTATTTACACGCTGGTTATAGAGGATTGTTCAGTTTATGAAATTTCATAAGCTAAACACTTAAATACCTTCCACATGAATTTTTTAATAACTATTAAGTAAAATAAAAGTTGTGCAATAATAATGACTATTATATGTATTATATGCCTTCTGTATTCTAGGCAGTAATATCTACTTTATTCTCACAACTCTGTGAGATATGTGTTGCTACCATCATTCTCAGAGGAAAATGAGCCGTGGGATTATCCATATATCACACAGTTAGTCAGCAACAGTGCTGGGATACCAACTCAGCCAGTAGGGCTCCAGAATCCTTACTTATCTCTGCATCATTCAACTCCAAGAGAAAATTTTACTTAAGTGAAAGAGAAGATCCAGAAAAGAAGAACTTTTGAGTTTTATTTTTTAAACCCTTAAAATAAATTATGCAGCTATCTATGTGATAGGGACAAAGCAAGACAGACCATCTGACACACAAAAAAATGATCTACATAAGTTGATTTTAGTTGACATCAGAACTGGCAAAGGATTTGGTCTCAGTTTTCTGATTTAAACAAATTTTCTTAATAAAGAACTAGGTCAAGAGGAAAACTGAATCAGTACAAAAATGTGGTAGTTGTAGGAATCGTTATGTTTCATATGTATGAAATGCATTTTCTCTATGATGTATGTAAATAGCTTTAAAAACAAGGAAATATGTATGCCAGAGAAACTATTTACCATTCTTGTGTTGGTCATTTAACTTGTATCAAATTTTTCTTTTCTTTTTTCTTTTTTTTTTTTTTTTTGTACCAGGGAATGAACCCAGTGGGGCTTAACCACTAAGACAGATCCTCAGCCATTTTTATATTTTATTTTGAGACAGGCTGTCAGTTGCTTAGGGCCTCACTAAATTCCTATACTGGCTTTAAACTCACGATCCTCCTGCTTCAACCTCCCAAGCTGCTGGGATTACAGGTGTGTGCCACTACACCCGGCTTGTATCAGTTTTTAATAGTTTTCTTTATATACCCACAGAAATGTATCTACCAGCCAATGGTGGCTCATACCTGTAATTCCAGTGGCTCTGGAGGTTCACTGAGGCCAGAGAATTTCGAGTGCAAAACCAGCCTCAGCAATTTAGCAAGGCCCTTAACAGCTTAGCAAGACCCTGTCCCAAAATAAAAAAATTTTAAAAAGGATTGGAGATGTGGCTCAGTGGTTAAGCACCTTGGGTGTGTGTGTGTGTGTGTGTGTATGTATATTATATATATAATATATTTTATATATATCATATATTAGAGTAAGAATGCATCTCAGTACTTAATGTTTATAAGTTATAAACAACCACTAATCTGTATCTATTAGTTTTATATATATTTTATTTTTTTAATGTACTTCACACCTTTATTATTTGAATTGATTCATTCCACACTTATGACTATATTAACTGTTAGTCAAGTAAATATTATTTATCTCACATTGCATTATGTAAGAAATGATTGGATATAGCTATAGATGATATTTATAATTAGAGCCATTTCCAGATAATTACCATAGAAATGATTCTGATGATGTCATTAAGATTTTTTATAGAATTTGTTTTATAGAACATATGCTGTAGCTAAATATCTCTTAATTAAACACAGCTTCCAAAAATCATTATGACTTCTTCTCTAAAATGAAAGGGAAAGATAGTTTTCAAATCCTATAAACTCACATGAACAATACTGTAATAGCTTAATTAAGTGTTGTTCTTACATATGTTAAAGAGCACTTTATTAATCATCTTATTACATGGGGGAATAGAGTGACTTAAATATTATAGAAACCATAAAATTGGTTAGTAATAAGGCTGAAGGAGGTGAAAGCAAAATGGGGAAGATGAGAAAAAGGGAGCTGACATTTTCAGGTGGCATTGGGGGCTACTGACAAGAAAATCTGTCTCCGGGGAACAGATTTTTCAGGTCCTAGAGAATTTCTAGTCTTAATATTATTCAAGAGGCTCTTAAAAGCTCATTCGAAACTCTAATTTTGGCTAATACTTAATTCTAAATAAATAAATAAAGGATAAAAAGAAATTTCCCTATATGATATGTTAAGTGCCTTATTATTTCACTTAATTTTCACAATAATCCTTTAAGCAAGGCAATACTGTACCATTTTGTAATAAGGGATATCATTGGATTTAATTAAAGGAACATAGCTATGAAGAGCAGATTGGGATTTTGTATCATTCCCTGGTACAAAAAAAAAAAAAAAAAAAAACCCTGTATATTTGAACAAATATTGTTTGTTCCTAACAATGCTATTCCTCAAATAGATATGTTTGCTAGACAGTTCACATCTACAATACTTAGGTTAACTTTTGGACTCTTTTCATACAACATTTCAGCTTATTCCTAGCATTGTGTCACTGGTCAAATGACCCCAATCATTAATAACAAGACAGGTCAATGCACAGAGCCCTCAAAACACTCTCAAGATCTCCCTCCTGCTGACATCAATCCATTCAGTAGCATGGATGAAGTCATTCAATTAGCTGTTGAGCCCACTGGACTATTCATTCTTTACTTCTTCAGAGCTCCCAATCTTCCCTTGTGAACCTGTTCTAACTACATCTTCCTCATGGCAATCAAATACAACCAGTCCTTCCTGTTGCTTATGTTCTGAATTTAAAGTCATTGCTGAGTCCTTTATTTATCTCACATCCCTACATTTAGTTTCTCAACAAATTATGTCAATTCTATCATCAAATTACATCCCCAAATCAATTACTTCTCACCTCCTCCATTCCTATCACCCTGGCCCAAGCCACCATTGCTAAAGCCCCCTAATCTGACTCCCAGCTTCTACTCCTGCCCTTCAGTGTTTTATCTTCCCAAAAGCCTGGATGATCCTAAAGTGAAAGAAAAAAACGGGGGGGGGGGGGGGGGGGCAAATTAGATCATATCAATCTGCTTAGAAATGGAAGGAGAAACAGGAAAATGGATATAGAAAACATGCAGAATTGGATCAATATTTTAATGATATTAAACACACACAAGAGCTATTAACATGCTTCCTCTTAATTTAAAGCTCTTTGGTTTTTCTTTTAGCCACAGTTCAGTTAATAAAGAAAAAACTGATAGTATGCCAGTATTAATAAATGAAAAAGTAATTATACAATACTACAAAATAATGGATGTAGATACTGCTCATCAATGTCTTTGAAAAGGAGACCTCCAGACATTATATACATATGTACCCATCTCCACCCATAAAATATTCTTGCCAAAAAAATTAGACCTGATCATATCAAGCTGTAACTAATTAGCTATAACTAATTACTAGATTAGTTATAGTATTAGTAATTAACTGTAACTAATTACTAGATTATAGGAAAGAGAGGGTCAAGAAACTGCTAAATGACATAACCATTATGAATCAGAAAAATACAAAATGTGGGCAACTGCACATCATGAACAACCTAGTTTCTTCAATAAATACATTGCAGGATGAACAAAGAGCAGGGCTGAGGATCTATAAATTAGAAATTTAGAAGACATATCAACCAATTATCTTTTGGATTCTTATGCACACTTTTTAAAATGATACAATTGGAAAATGTATGTTAAGGAATTATTAAATTTTAGGTTTGATAATGAATTGTAACAATATTTTAATGTCTTTTAGAAATACATATTGAAATATTTGCGAATCAAATGATTTATCTGGGATTTATATCAAAATAATCCAAGGGAATGGGAATAGATGAAATTAGACTGATCATGAGTTAATTACCGAAGCTAAGTATTGCCTGAGTCATTTATTTCCCTTTATGATAGGAGATGTTGTTATTGAGTCGTTTATTTCTCTTTGTGATAGTTCATTATACTTTTCCATCTTTGTAAATGTTTGAAATTTTCCACAATGAAAAATTTTTAATCCCCTTTTGGAATCTTCAACTTTCTTCTCTCCCCCAAGTCTCAGCTCCTTTGGTCTCTGGCCACATTACTACTTATCTTACAGTGTTGTGTAACTCTCAAGTTTGTCTGTGATTGTTAGTGATTCTTTCATTCCTTCCCATGTTTACAAAATTGACTTTGTAGAGACTCTTACTTTTTCTTCCTTATTGGAATTCATTTGATGCTTAGTCAAATTTATGTTAGAGAAAATATCCTTACTATGTTCTGTTCTACAGATACTTGTTAATATCTCTTTCCTTTTAAAAGTCTAAGGTCAAACTTTTGGGTGGAAGAAAGAGGAAGTAAGAGTTTTTTAACCTTATCCGAATGTTGCATTTTTTTGATGACCACCATACTTGGAACAGTTGTCCATCTGTGTTCCTTAAGCTTCAGGGGTGCACACTTTCCTCTAGTCATACCCACTTCTCTTCTTTGGAAAGCAATTGGTGGGAGATTTTATGAATCTATCTCCCCAACATTCTTGATACTTCCACTTTTTAATCATTTCTCCACATTTGTCAGCATTAGTCCCAGAAAAGCAATTGTGTCTTTGCTTCCTTAATATGTTGTCACTTGTCATCATCCTAATCCATCAGACCCCATTTTGATATACTGATGTCACTGAAAAGTCATCCTAGGCTTATTTCTCAGCCAGTCCATACCAATTTCCATTCTCAGCACACTGTTCTTCAATCCTGGTATGTATGTTTCTCTGTCTTTTGAGAAAGGGGACAGGTTAAAACTAGAAAGGGCATGACAGTAATTAAAGATGAATGAACCTCAAAAGAGGCAAGCTTGCATGCAATTTGAAGTCTTCAGTCACAATGAATTTTCTCCCCACTAGAACACAGTGCAAAGC